AGTTACGGCCGAAAAACTGCTTGACCGAATACTTTTGAGCACTACTGTATATCTGATCACTACGTTATTGAGAGTTTTACTCACTATAGCAGTTCCTTTGACACATTGGGGGTTCAACCAGGAATCCTACTGTCCTAAGAACGCGGGGTTGCAAAGCAGTCAAAGAAAAGCCCACTACCGTCCGAAGTTTACGAATGCTCTATCAAAAAATGCAAATGTACCCTTGTGTTGTAGTGCTGGCCTGGTTGGAGATGCCTGGATAGTAATTTCGTTTTTTTCAAGATGCTTTTTAAGATGCCCTCTAGAAGTTTGAACAGACCTGGTCCACACCTTTTCGTTCCAGCAATTTATCCCTTTAAGATGGGCTGACCAGTAGGCATGGATGATTATCTTCTAATGGCATTCAAAGCTGAGCATCAGCTGATGAATGCGAAGTCGCCGTTCATGGGCATATGTATGTGTTTATCCCGCGATGTGCTCTCCATTTTGGGTGTGGGACCCAGCTGTTCCTTTAGCTGCTTCCTGAGTTGCACCATATCACGAATTGCAGATGACTCCAATCGTCAATCACAGGCAATCTTTTTGAATACACAATTTTATCCAACAAGTCAGATTTGGCTTTGAACAACAACAAAGAATTCTTGGCCCCTCTCAAGCCACATCATAGCTGGTCAGCATGAGAAGCAATCATGAAGCGTGTACCAACTGAATTTAAATAACAAACTTCAAATAAAAGATCGCTCGACCGCATTTCTGCGACTAGTCTAGCTTTATTTCCTGCATCACATAATTTAAGCTTCTGTATGGATACAAAACTACTCGGTTCCCATGCACCGCAGGAAAGAATAGTAAGCCTCGAAAGTTGATGGTTTGAACTGGTTTCCTGTTAAAATTGTTCAAGTTCTCTAATAAGGAATGTGAACTGACCACGATCCTCTCCTGCTCTGCTCGAATAGTGTTGTACATGCCTTTCAAAACTGATGATTCAGCATTCAAAAGGAATTTTCATCTGAAGTGGAGGGATGACAGTGCTATCATATTGCAGGCAATACGCTGGTTGCTTAGATACTAAATCTTCAATTTTCTCTGAATAATGGTGGAAAGTTGGAGAAGATCGTGCATCAATTGACTTCATTCCGCACGCGTAGAGCTTTCCTGTTATCTTTTTTTCAACTAAATTGAAGTGCGGAAGTTAGCCATGGATTAACTAGTCGTGAGTCGTCGGCTGACAACGAATTAGTAGCAGTATTGTACCATCGCGTTGCGTGTGATACTTCAAGATACAAGGTTGGAAGTAGAGGACGTGGTAGACTCTGTTAAACTCGGAAGAACCACCACTACTCTGTCAATCTATATGGATTATCAGTATCTCACAGTCATGTGTCATGACAGTCCTAGGAGAATGCTTGTCCTGCGGTATATTCAAATGGCTGGGCAAAAACTATTGACGGATTAAAGATGCAACGATAGAGCAGAGGCTTGCTTACTGTTACAGTAGAATCATGTCTACAATTGAACAACCTGTTTCAGATCTATTTTCTACTGTCAGTACACAAGCGATTGCTTTAGTGCGTACCCTCGAACGGATATGAGCACCTATCCCGGGCTGCTGAATCATCACATCAACGAAAAATATAGGAAGCTCACCTGAGAGTTACCTGCACAAATTATTGGCTCGATTTTCTTAAGCCGGGTTCAAATGCGGGATTGTATGGCGATGAGTGGTTTCGCAAGCCCACTAGCAAAAATACTGGTTTATTCTGTTTGTTCCACCCGTTTAACAGTAATATGTATCAGGTTGATGCATAATTATTGCAAATTTTTTCGTGCCTTCTTTTCTCTCGAAAAAATTAAACTTTCGAATTTGGGATTTTTGTAGAAATAATCTTCTAGCTTTCCTCAACAGAAATCTTTCTAGAAAGTCACCTTCGTATACGCCAAATTATGCTCTATTACTTCGAGAAATGTTGGAAAGCGGCACACTCGTAACGACGTGATCTCAACGAACCTCTCGGCGATGGAACAGTCAGCCAAATCCGAATTAAGAACGGAATTTGCTTCCACGGTCGCCTTATTCACCAACAGAAACTGCTACGGACTATCACGTTGATTGCCTTTTGAAAAATTGATTAACAAACAGAACTTTGGACGAAGTGGATAGCTTGATGGCCAACGTCAAGGCGTATCACTTCCATGACTCGAAACTTCTTTGCCTGTGGAATCCGACACCTTAGCAAATGGGAGGCAGTGCTTTACGTAGAGAATGGATATGAACCGGAGCAATTATTTGAACATATCTTTGCTAGATATGTCTACCGTTTCTCCAAGTCAAATTTGCTGAAAAAAATCCGCAATAGTTATGCATCAACCTAATATTATGAAAATAATTTTAAAAAATATGTTGCGGTGTCAAGAGTTTCCTCCCGGAGACGAGTAGAAAGCTGAGTCGATGCAGCTTTGCATGGCACAGCTATTGACTAGAAAACATCGGGATTAAGATACAGACCCACAAGATGATTTGGAAAGAAAACACTGTGTCGCATTCATATCCCACATATGAACATATGATAACAACCATATGGTCATATTTGGGATAGGAGTCTTCGGAACATGGTAAGGGTTGTGATGTCACCTCTGGTCTTGAATGGCGACTAGTTCGCCGTCTTTAAGAAGCACCTTTGCACATCTCCTTTGTGTCTCATATGCTCATTCGGCAACGAAAAAAACAGCTGACATCCGGTAATCAGTACTTCATGCCATGAATTCAATGTAAAGTTGATTACATTGCGTCTTTATTTCGGATAAAGAAACGCTGGATGGGATGCTTAACTAGAGAAGAGCTACTCTTCTTAGAAAGCAGAGCTATTGTGTCAAGGGAGCATATGTTTCGAGGTGACGGTTGCAACATTATCACGGATATTACGAGCCCGGCGAATTTCAGATGCCTTCTGTATGGTTCAACCCTTTAAAACTACTTTACAGAAAGTAAGACTACAGAGCGATTACTAGAGAGCTGTCGCCCTTTGCAGCACTATGTAGCTTTTGACCTACACACTCTAATCGTCCCCTATTAATTATTGCATAGGCCATCCAACCCCGATCCCAGAAATATCACAATGGCAGGGCGAATTTGGAAGGCTTGTGCCACTCATAAATCGCATTCATCAGAATGTTTTGCAATGTTTTGCCGTGCAGGTATGTTAAGGTAGAAACAGCTTTATTTGGCCGACGTTTCGACTATCTCGTCGTCTTCAAAGACCTGAAAGCAGTTCGGAGCTCCTGATCTGTGGCTTACCCGACCAAGCGTCCAAACGCGCTAGTCCAGTTTTAACAGCTCCCAGAAACTTGAAGGCCAAAAGATCCCATTCGAGAAACAAACCTTCTGCGGTTCCACCAACGCAGCCGTCCCACTCGATTCGGTGAACAACAAGGGACCAATGAGACACCATTGACGGTCGTTGGATAAGAGCTGCGCGGTGTTCTCAAAGCCAACAGAGAGGAATGAGTGGCAGAAATTCGCCTGTCATGGCAATGCACTCATTTCGGTTGTTCAGCTCAGGATTTCTCT